AATAAGAATATGTTGGTCTTTCCTCTGTGACGTCCCCCGGTGTCGCTGCGCCAAATGTAACGTCTGCCTAGCCGCGTCTGCCGTGCTGTCCTAGTCGCGGCGCCAATTGTGACGTCACTCCGTCTGTCTCCGTGCCGTCCTATCCTGTCCCGTGACGACCAACGTGACTTGGTATTGGTCGCGGCACCAAATGTGACGTTCTAACCTTTTGCTGATTCGGATGGGAATCTGGTTAGATTCGGTATCAGCCTTGTCGTTCCCAGCTCGCCTCCAACGTCTGGTTACCGAAGTAACTGTTTTGATTTCTAGTCTAACCTACCCACGTTGTGATTTGATCAATCAGTCGCCGGGCCGTAATGCAAGCTGAGTCTGGACAAGGGTAACACCGCATAAGTATATGTAAAAGAAAATAAAGTAATAACTCGAAAAGTTCAAATGTGTTAAAAAGGAATAACAATATTTTATATCTGGTTGCTGAATACAGGACTGAGTCTTTCTCCCAAACTGCTATATGGATTCGTGACACTCTATGTTTGTTAGGCGAGTCTTAACATCCTATGTTGTTTGTTCTTTAAGAAACTGGTTCTTGGTGTATCTTCAGGCGATATTCGTAAAACTTGTTTTGGTGGTGTGAGTCTAAGTCGTTCTTCAAAAATAAATTGTTCTTGGTTAGAAGTTGAGGTCGAGAATGCGCGAATCTCAAGTCAGCTTCCTGCGAGCTCTCAGCTCACTGCAACTGCTTGCCTGCCTGTCTAACCCCAACCGCTCAGCTGCGAACTGCTTAACTCGCCGCGACTCTGCTTATATCGACGCCGACCAAAACCGGGGTGGGCTTGTCGGGGTTTGAGGTTCCTTGATAATTCTAAATCCACTTCTTTGTTTTCGGTCAGGAAATTTTTTTTATATTCCATTTTTGGAAGTCCTTCCAGATTCTTCCTTTTTCATATGGGTATCTCACCCAATCCCTTCAGGGGGCATCAACAGGCCTCCCCTCCTTCTTCACATGATTACCTTCGCCTGCCGCTCACGCCATCATTCAGCCAATGGCCGCCCAGCAGTGCGCATAGGGCCAGACTGGCCTCGGTTTAAAAAAAATCTTGCTCAAAGAAAAAAAAAATTATCTTCCTTTTTTTTTCCTTCTGCCCGACAACAAACCAATACGACCCATAGTGTGATCCCTTAATCTCAATTTTATCTGAATGTCACCTGGCGATATCCGTTCTGATAAAATAATTTTGCTATCATGGCCAGCTTCGACATAAAACAGGTGTCTTTTTCCAAATGATATGGGGGTGGCCCAACGGACATTTTGGTCTCGGTTAGAGCATAACCTAATTATCATTACCTCCCAGTTTGTTTCGTAGGCCACTTGACCAACCTGAAATCTTCACCATTGCCATGGGCAGATTGACTATATCTTATTCGATGCGTCGTCATAAATTAAATTAAATCCGACACATCCGCAACCTTACTTTTCTCGCTAATAGCACTTTTCCTTGTTAGAAAATAAAAAAATAACACCGTCTTTTCATGATAGATTCTTATCACCCAATTTTAATTCTCGCAACCCTAAATAGTGCCACACCTCTTACAAAACTTTATTATTGATCTTGGGGTCTTTTTTCATCATGCTATGCTGGTTTGTTTTTTATGCGACTAAGTGGAGGTACCTGTATAATAATAATATAATATAATAGTTCAAAAATCGTTTAAAATTCTTCATTGCTTTCAAGATGGCGTTTTGGTGATATCAAGTGAAAAGTAAATTTACGAATCAAAATTTGAAAAGCTCATAAGTGTCGTTTATTTACATAATTTTTTTTTTTTTTAAATTTAAAAAGAATTTAGTGATAAAAACGTTCCTAATTTTTACCTACAGGGATCTATACATGACATAATCCTTAAAACGGTCACGTGATTTTTAAGTGTCATCTGACGCAGTGCAATTATTTTACTTTTAATTCAGTTGTTTCATTAAATCGTCCCTTTAAAATATCAAAAAATTTTTTATTTTTCTTAATTGCTATTTCCCCTAAATATTTTTATTTTATGTATTTATTTTAGTTTGGGTCATACTTCAACTTCAGTTAATTAAATTTATTTTTAAGGTAGTAAACTTAAGAACCTAGAGACGAAATGCATTTCATAAATCTTCTTGAAACCTAACTAAAAGTCAAAATATTGTAAAAATTACTAGGGAGTTAAATTAAAGAAGAAAAAAAAAAACAAAAAAAAAAAAAAACAATGCGTTTACTTCGTAAATATGTCATTTCTGGTCATCCATAAGAGCTGTTTATTAAGCCAATAAAGGTCAAAGAAAGAGGAACCCACCGTTAAGAAATGCTTTTATATTGTTTTTTTTTTTTAATGCTATATTTATTTCAAATCAGGTTAATTTAATCTTAAATTTTATTTTACTCAAATAACATGCCACAAATCGATAATTTAATTTTGAGAGATTTTTTAAAACTGATAAATTTGTTTACAAATTTAAAATTAATAAAATGGGCACTTAAAAAAAAAAAAAAAACGAACAATATTTTGGCATTCCAATCTATATAGTTTCTGAAATACACCAGAATATTTTACTTATTGGAAATAATATAATGATAATAAATTCAATCATTTAGCTTTCAATTAAAACTTAAATGAAACCTTCAAGAAAGCCTTTTCATTTTTAAAATCGAAAATTCGGTTGAGGTGCCTGATGTCTCAGATCTTTCGCAATTTGTTGATAAAGTGTTAAGGGCGATAACAGAAGGAATCAGAGTTATCTCTCTTAGACTACTAAGTTTTTATATTCGATTTTTCTTCGGATATAGAGAAAAACAATCGATTTGGAAAAGAAAAAAATTGGGAAAGACAAAAAGAGATGAGGTGAATTCTAATCTATCTCCCAACCCCCGTAAAGTCGTCAAAGCGTAGAGCAAAAATAGCAGTAATTTCAAATAGCATTCAAGGAAGCTAAGCTGAGGAAGAAGATTCATTAGAAACAAGGAAACGAGTGGCGCACTACATGATTGTGGCAGTGGAGATGAAGAGGAGACTTGAAGCGATGTGACTACAGAATGATGCTGAGAATGCAATGGGCCGAACATGTGAGCAACGATGAGGTTTTGGGGGAAAATGCAAACAGAAAGAAAACTTATACTTAACAACAGGAAGAAACAGTTGGAGTTTGGGGGTGGGGGAATAATGAGGAATGAGGGCTTGGAAAATCTGATCCTCACAGGACAGACAAGAAGAGAACAGTGCATGGCATACTTGGAGTAAATTGGGGGAGGGGGCGGAACAGAGCTCAGGAGAAATAACAAAAAAAAGTTTATTAAGAGCTACCAAGTCAGTTGTGGAAAGCCATGATAGCATACATCCATAGGCCCACAGCACATAGAAAAGAAAATCGGAAAATGGAAAACTTGGATGGCTTCTAAAAATAAAAAAAAGTAAACAGTATCGAGAAAAAATAGTTTTGGGTGACGAGGAAGAAGGTTAAGGGATGGAGGAAAGAAAGGTGATTTTTGACGGGGAGAGGAAGAAAAGCTGACATGTTGGGGGTGAAAGGAAGGGAAGCTGACATTTTTGGTGGTATGTGAAGAAAGTATTTTATCAGCAATTTTATTTTATTGAAATTTCGGTAATTTGCTTTTTAACGTCCGCACTAAATATCTCTTAAAATTTTCCCAAATCATCATATTTCCGTGCAAATGTACATGCTGAACTCAAATTAACAATTAAATTATGAAGAAACCATACCGTTTTGGAGTTATCGACAATAAAAGTTCAAACTCAGTCGCATTCAGCTGTCGGCCATTACTACTTTTGATTAAATTAACATTGAGTGCGAAACATTTCGCTTGCGGAGGCTTAAGAGCCTTTTTACTGCTCTTAACTGAACTTACTCGTATAAAATTATTCCGCATTTAAGTTATGCCGTAAAGTGATGACAAGTGTTGTTTTTTTTTTTTTTTATAGTAAACTTTGTAAAGAGCATGATTATCTACAAAATAAAAAAATGATAGAAACGCAATGATAATTAATGTGCAAACTTTGGAAAGAGCATGGTTTTTTATTTTCAAAATAAAGGAGAAACAAAAATCGTCAGAAAATCATCCAATTTTTTCGGAAATTTATACAAAATTTTTTTTTTCATCAAAAGAGAAAAAATAAAAAAAATCCAAATTTATTTGCACAAAAATCAAATTACTTCTTCCATTTCCAACTTTTTAAGAATTTTTCCAACATTCTTTGTTTTGTCCCCAATAAATTCCCAGATTTCTTCCAAATTTTGATCACAAGCGAAAATTTTTTTTTCTCAAAATTTTTTCTTGTGTCAATTATTGTTTGGATTTCTGAAAATGGCGGACATTTTTTTCGCGCCAAAAAGAAAAGTCTTCCCCGATGCCTTCGGGGCGGAATCCGTCTCCTCCATCTATTAAACAAGATTGGCCGACCAATTCCCCTGACTCATCAAGTTCTTGGATCGAATCTCCGTCCCAATCGCAAACAAAGACATGATTTGTCTTCGTTGCCGATGACAATCGATGAAATAATCCGCGGCAGGTTCGGTCCTTGTAGATGGCATTCTCTTTCTACCTGCAAATGCTCGGATGTCTCTACTGTCCAATCGATCATTTCTTTTTTCAGTGATTCTAGGGAGTCGTGACACCATTTTGAAAATGTCACGACCCAATGGATTTTCTCAGGTGGAGCAAACGATTGGCAGAGCCATGCAGAAAGCTCCGCCCCACCAACTGCAATTGACGTCCTCATCGTCAACGCCGTCTGTCAACAAATATCACACGGTGTGGTGCCAGATTTTCACCTTCCCCAAAAGGTTATCTCTCTCCTTGATTGAGAGGCACCATTTTCTCATCAGTTCAGACGCCGCCGCTCTCATATTGTTGCGCAGCTCTCCCAACTTGAGCTGTGCTTCTTCCACAAATGCCTCAAAATCGTGCAGGAGTTTTGAGCATTCATAATCGCAGTCCGTTGACAGTTGGTCAATGGATTGCCTCGTCCACCAACTGGATGCAGATTTCGAACTCACAACGTTCCCGCTCCAGGGTGGAGCCGCGCTTCTTCCCCTTCGATGCCTGCTCCCTCACCGAGAGCAGACGGGGTGGACACTGCAGTGAGATGGTCACGCGATCCTCATAACATGCTTCACACGTTGCACCGCTCGCAGAAGGTGTCTTTGGTTTGGCAGTGCTGTCGTTATGACCCGGATAGCCCCTACCCATGACAGGCCCAACAGGTCTTTAGCTTTGTGCCCGGGTTGGAATTTCTGATGAAATCTCTCACAGGTCTGGCACAAGAGTTTCTGACAGTCCTGGCACCAAATTTGGCTGGTCGATTCTATGCCGTCTTCCGAACACACATCACAATTCAGTTGGCGGGATTCCAGCTGACAGCGCCTCAAAGACTTCACCAAAAATGGTGACAGTCTCAAATTGTCACCGGTCGCAGTTTTTTGGCACTGGGGACACAGGCCACATCCTTCAAGAATCATCTTCACGCGCGACCCACAGAAATAATGAAGACATGTCAATGTCTTCGATGCCAAATTGGTCGTATTTCGAGCATTGGAATGTCTCTTCTTTACTTATATTGGACACCATTTGGAAAATTTCTTCTGAAGATAAAAATCAAATCTGAAAAGAAAAAAAAAATAAGGTCAAAGTTCAAAATCAGAAAAAGACAAAAAAAAAAAAAAAAAAAAAAAAAAAATCTTCTAAAATGAGGAAGAGGGAGAGATATAGAGAGAAGGAAGACAGTGAAGAGGAGGAATGAGGAATAAAGCGAGAGAATGGAAGTGTGTATAAAAGAGAGGGAGAGAGAGAGAGAGAGACGGGATTTTTTTTCCTTTTCTCTTCAATAAATAGATTGATAGATGAGACGAGAATAATCACAAAGAAGAGGTGGGGGAGGAGTGAGTGGTTATCAATGAAGGTATCAAGGAAGGGAAGTAGAAGTGCAATGCGAGAAAAGGGATGGAAAGAAAGGGCAAAAGAAACAGAGAAAGGGAGGGGGGGCTCCAATTTCCCGCCTTCAGTCACATGACATTCTCTTTTCATCAATTGTAATATTTTTTAAATTTCTTTGAAAAAGACATGAAGACATTTTTTTATTACCACTTGCTAAGAAAATTAAGCACTAAATAAAGGAGAGAGAGAAAAAAAAATAAAGGAGAGAGAGAAAAAAAAATAAAGGAGAGAGAGAAAAAAAAATAAAGGAGAGAGAGAAAAAAAAATAAAGGAGAGAGAGAAAAAAAAATAAAGGAGAGAGAGAGAGAAAAAAAAAAAGTGATATATACAGATAGGTTTCATGAGATAACAAAAAATAAAGAGGAGAAAAAAAATAAAGGAAAGAAAAAAATAAAGGTGAAGAATGAAGGAGAGAAAAAAAAAAAGTGATATAAAAGAGAGAAGGAAAGGTGAAGAATGAAGTATAAAGAGAGAGAAGGAAAGGTATGAAAGAGAGAGGGGGACATTTTTTCCTTATCTTTAAATAAACAGATTGATAGATAGACCAATATAAGAAAGAGAGACAGATGGAGGAGGTAAGAGGTAATAATAAAACGTTTTTCTCAATATGAATTCAGTTAAAAAAAAAAATCCAGTAAAAACCAGAATTTCTCAATGTTTTCATGAAACTTTCGTAAAGTTTGATTATTTGGAAATCAATGGGAAAATTCTGAGTTGTGGGGCTGTGACATCATAGGAGCAGATGGCATTTCATTGGACGAGAATAACCACACCCTACCTGGGCTGAAGGGCGTTTACAAGGGAGGGAAAGTAGGGAAGAAGTGAAGGGGAGGAATAGGAAAGAAAAAAGTTGTATGAGAGAAAAAGGATTTTTTTCCTATTAAATAGACCGTCCGATAGACAGAGGTTTCATGAGATAACAAGTGAGAGAAAGTAGGGAAGAGGAGAAATGAGCAATATATATATATATATATATATATAATGACTTAAAAAAAAAAAAAACATAATAATTTCCATCATTCCTGAATAGTTTCATTAAAATCTGACAATCATTTCTATTTTTACAAGATTTTCAAAATTAATGTGTGTCATAAGAAAAAAAATGAACAAAAAATTTGCCATGTTATTTACACATTAATTTGGAAAATCTTGCAAAAATAAAAGTCAGATGTTAATGAAACTTTCAGAAACTATTCACAGACGATTGAAATTATGTTTTTTTTTTTTATTATTAAAGTCATGGCAGAAATATGTTTCTTTTACATTTATTAACACCCCCATATCTAATTTTATGAAAAACTCTAGAAATTCGTACCATCGGTTTTTAGTGATTACAATAGTTAAAGCACAAGGCTTTGAAAAATGTAAATCATTTTTTTTTTTAATTTGGCCAACGTACCTGAAAATCAGCTCTGAATTGTAACATACAAAACTCAATAAAAACAAATATATTATTTAATTTTAAATGCTTTTATTTGTTCTTATGAATATGGACAATATTTTCTGAAAGCAAAAAATTTTTTCCAATGAAAATTGAATTTTTAATACAATTATTTCTTATTTCTTTAATTTTAAAAAGATTTAAAATTTTTTAAATTGAATTTTTAAAAATATTTTAACATTTGTTAAAAGCACCATCAACTTTTCAAAATCTCCATGTGAGATTTGTCTAGCGTATTGAAAATTTTTTCATTTGGACCAATTAGATTAGAAATCAAAATTAATAAAATGAATGGAAATACAAATAACACAGTAAAGTGTAATTAATGTACATAAAATTATAGTATTTTATGTACACTTCTGATAAAATTTCATAAGAAAAGTACCCATAAATTAGTCTTGTCCCAGGTAACGCTAAAAAAGTGGTATACCCTGGAGAAAAAAGGTCCTCAAATGGATAAAAAAAATTTTAACGTGTAAATGTTTATGTTAAGATTAAAGAGTTAAGACCAAAGTATTTTTTAAATATTTTTTCAGATTTTTTTAATCCTTCCTATAAATCTTTTAAAAATTTGTTTTTCTTGAATAAAAAAAAAAAAAAAAAAAAAAAAATTCAATTTATCGGACATTTCTGCCAGAGTTTGTAAACAAAAAAGAAAAAAAAAATAAATCAAACTTAGTTCAAAAATCAATTAAAAAAAAAAAAAAAAAAAAAAAAAAGGGAATTTAGAATGATTAAAGTATACTTAATGTAATTTGAAAGAAACATTGCTTACTTTTTTTTTTTAGCAGAAAATTTTTTAATAGGAGATATTTCCAACCGTGGTACTCGCGTGATTGAAGGATGTCAATATATTGACAACTTACATCAAGGGAATTTATTGTACGGTAGTGCAGAAGTGATGTAATTCGCTCTAATTTTAAGTGAACCCGGTTAGTAAATTTAAAAAGAAAAATTCACTTTCAAATCTTTTTAACCTTACATTTGAGGAAAAATTTCTGAAAAATAACTTGCTTCTATCAAGAGAAACAAGTCTACCTCATGAGACATTATTTCAAAAATATCACTGGTTGTCAGATTTTAATGAGCTTTCAAATTTATGATCTTCAAAAAGTAGAACAAAATATGTCATTTCCATGAGGTTGCATAAAGAAACTTAATTTTAAAATATTTTAAAATTTTGTGACTTGTCATTTGTGTATTTAAAAAAAAAAAAAAAAAAAAAAAAGAAAAAATTAATGTAAAAATTCAATTTTCTTCAAAATCTTTTTTTTTCAGATAAGAATTACCTTATGTTATTCAGAAAAGTATGCATAAAAAGCTTTTTTAATTAAATATTGTCTTAGTTTTATTGAGTTTTGTATGTTTACAATTGAGGTAAAAGTTTGGACAATTCTACACGTTTTAAAAAAAAAAAAAAAAAAAAAAAAAAAAAAATCATCGATGATTTAGAATCTTCAGAGTCTTGTGCATTTAATAAAAAAAAAATATCTGGATACAGAAATAAATTTTTGAAGTTTTCATAAAATTAAGTTCGGGGTGTAACATATATATATAAAAAAAAAAAAAAAAATATTTATACCATGACTTTCAAAAAGACAAACATTTCTAAAATAATTTCGTTCATTTGTGAATAAGTTCTGAAAGTTTCATAAAAATCCAACAAGTACTTGATTTTTGCAAGATTTTCCAAATCAACGTGTATTTTCCAACTGAAAATAGTGAGAAAAAAAAAAATTTTTTTAAAATAATTAAAAAATACCTTGGTCTTCCCTCCTTAATTTTAATCATTTACAGTACACGTTAAAAAATTTTTTTTATCAATTTGGGGACCTTTTTCGCCAGGGTATGCCACTTTTTAGCGTTACCTGGGACAACCCTACTATAAATTAATTTAGGGTTGTCCCAGGTAACGCTAAAAAAAAAAATATACTCTCGAGAAAAAAAGGTCCCCAAATTGATAAAAAAAAATTTAACGTGTAAATGATTATGTTAAAATTAAAGAGGGAAGACCAAGGTATTTTTTAATTATTTTTAAAATTTTTTTTTTTTCATTTGCAGCATTTTTTAAATTTAGTTTGAAAACCTTGTTTTTTTTTTTTTAGGTCAAAATTAGGTTAAATTAGCATTATTTTTTTTTTTTCACTATTTTCAGTTGGAAAATACACATTGATTTGGAAAATCTTGCAAAAATCAAGTACTTGTTGGATTTTTATGAAACTTTCAGAACTTATTCACAAATGAATGAAATTATTTTAGAAATGTTTGTCTTTTGAAAGTCATAGTATAAATATTTTTTTTTTTATATATTTTACCCCCCGAACTTAATTTTATGAAAACTTCAAAAATTTATTTTTGCATCTGGATGTTTTTTTTATTAAATGCACAAAACTCTGAAGATTCTAAATCATCGATTTTTTTGGTAAAAAAAATGAGTAGAATTGTCCAAACTTTTAGTTTACCTCAATTGTAAACATACAAAAAAAACCAATAAAACTAAGACAATATTTAATTAAAAAAGCTTTTTATGACTTTTCTGAATAACATAAGGTAATTCTTATCTGAAAAAAAAAAAAAAAAAATTTGAAGAAAAATGAATTTTTACAATAATTTTTTTTTTTTTCTATTTTAAATACACAAATGACAAAATTCACAAAATATTAAAATATATTTTAAAATTAAGTTTCTTTATGCATACTCATGGAATTGACATATTTTGTTCTCTACTTTTTGAAGATCATAAATTTGAAAGCTTATTAAAATCTGACAACCGGTGATATTTTTAAAATAATTTTTTAATATTCCAAAATTGTATTTAATATCGTCTCCAACGAAAGTACGGATGCACAGCTTTGAAATAACGTCACGTGAGGTAGAGTTGTTTCCCTTGATAGAAGCAAGTTCTTTTTACTTCAGAAATTACTTCGCATTCTTTCTGACTGAATATCGTCGCATTTTCAATTTTTTCTGTTTTCAAATATAATCAATTTGTTCCTTTTTCTTTTCAGTTTTTAAATATAATCAATTTTTCTTTTTTCAGTGTGAGACAAACTGCAAAATATTTCATTTTTTTTTTTGTTTTATTCATTTTTTTTTTTTTACGGAAACGGCGAAGGGTTTTTTAGGGGACAAGAGAGTTAAGGTTTTTATTTTTGTTTTTTCACTATATATTCTTTACTTTGTTTTATTTACTGTTTTATAGTGAGAGCCGTAAATTGATTTTTAGTTTTAACTTAATTGAAACTAAAAACAATTGAAATAAAAAAAAAAACGGAGGTCTTGAGGAGTGTGGAACCACCTCTTAATTGCTGTTGTTCCCAGGTCCACTCTGACCCAGAGTGGTAGCACCTGATAGGGTCCCAGCTATGGGTAAATAGTGGGATAAAACAAAATAATGATCATTTACAATTGCAAAAAAAAAAAAAAAAAAAAACCTTGGAAGTGCACCCGAATTTTCAAGTTAGAAATCGATTGCATAGCATTTCAATGTTATTAATAAATAAAATATGTATAAAACTCCCATGACTGCCATCACAAATATTAATAAATAGAAAAAAAATCTGCCTTAATAAAAAGAAATAAAATCTCATTTCATTAAGTTAACCTGTTTCAATTATGAAATTTAATGTTTCATGTAATTTTATATTCTCAGAAAAATATTTCATGACAAGTAATAAAATCAATTTAAAAAATAAATGTTACTGTTTTATTTTTAATTTTTACTTGTAAATTTTTTTTTCCATAATTTAAATGTTATTTTCAGTGCATAAATTTTTCCCCAAACGTAAAGTTAAAAAAAAAATAAAAAATAAAAAATTTGAAAGTGAATTTATTTTTAATTTACTAACCAGGTTCACTTAAAATTAGAACGAATTATATCACTTCTGTGCTACCGTACGATAAATTCCCCTGACGTAAGTTGTCAATATATTGACAGACATCAATTAACACCCCTCAAACACGCGCCAAAGCAAGCACCAAGGTTGGAAATATCTCTTAAAAAATTTTCTGCTAAAAAAGTAAGTAATGTTTCTTTCAAATTACATTAAGTATACTTTAATCATTCTAAATTTCCTAACAAAAAAAAAAAAAAAAAAAAAACTGATTTTTAAAAAATTTTAATTGATTTTTGAACTAAGTTTGATTTTTTTTTTGTTTACAAACTCGGCAGAAATGTCCGATAAATCGAATTTACTAATTTTTTTTTTTTTTTTCAAGAAAAACGAATTTTTAAAAAAAATTTTAAAAATTTATAGGAAGGATTTAAAAATATTCAAAAAAATACTTTTGTCTTCCCTCTTTAATTTTAACATAAACATTTACATGTTAAATTTTTTTTTTATCCATTTGGGGACCTTTTTTCTCCAGGGTATACCACTTTTTTTACCGTTACCTGGGACAAGCCTAAATTAATTAGATACCTTTTTCTTATGAAATTTAATCTCACTATTAACAGTCTTATTTTTTTAATTTCTTTATATTTTCCATAAAGTATCGTAAACGTAAAAATGAAAGCTAAGTACAAAAAAAAAAAAAAATTTGTTCACTTAAATAATTTCACTTCCTTCCATCCGTAGAAAGAATTATCCTCCCGTAAGTTATCTAAACGTCATGAATGTGCCTTTCGTCAATCGTCCAGCGAGGCGAAAGGTTATGACCTGCTTTGTTTTATTTTCAAAGTACATTTTTTTTTCGGCGCAGAAGCTAAGTTAAACTTGGTTCAAAATATTTTAAATAAACAGTATAATTTCTGTTTTTATTAAAATCAGTTTTGAAAAAATGATAATTGATTTTTAAAAGAATATCAAAGTCAAATTTTAATCTTTTTTAAATCAAATCGAAAAAAAAAAAAAAAAAAAAAAATTTTTTTTAAAATACCCCAAAAATACTTTGATCTTTCCTCTTTAATAATATGAACATTAGACGATAAAATTTTGTTTTCGTCAAATTCGGCGTTTTTTTCATCGTGCTATGCTCTTTTGTTTACACTTTCGTGGAGGTACCTATCTGAAAAGGAAAAATTTTTTCAAGAAAAAAAAAAAAAAAAAAAACAAAAAAAAAACTACCTACTTTAAAAATCATTTCATGTAATTATCCACCGTAGGGTATAGGCGCTCATGCCAAATCAATTGAAACAGTGCAGTCATTGAGTTCTCTAAGATTTAGAATTGATACAGCAATAAATCAAAAATATTTCAAATGCAACTAATTTAATGATTTCAGATCAAAATCATAAAACAGAAGCCCGTTTTGCAGCCATCTTGAAAAAGTGGCCACAATATTGTTTTTTTTTTTCGTGGCTAGCACTTTTACCTGAATGAGTGGTCTACAAGGAACACTCATGCCAAAATTCATGTTTATATCACAATTTGCACTATAGTTTTGAGCAAAACCATAAAACAGAGGCCCGTTTTGCCAACTTGAAAAATGGCCGCCATGTTGAATTTTTTTCAAGCACTTTTTTCTAAATAAGTGACCTATCAGGAACACTCATGCCAAATTTCATGCTTATCTCAATTTGCACGATTCTACCCAAAATTTACATTTTCCTGCTCCACTGTTTTTTTTTTTGACAAAAAGATTTCCGTTGATGGGAGAGGAGAGTTTTTTCTTTTTCTAAACAGAGAGATCGACAGACCAACCATGATTTTTGTTAATGAAAGAACTAACCGATATATTACGACTTTAATGAACAGACTTTATAAAGTTTCCCCATTTTTCTTTTTAACAAGCGGACCACTTTACTTAAGTAGTGCCTAGTCTCCCTTTTAATTCTACAACAAACATTAAGGAAAGAGATAGGAAATCGGCATGCAAAATAACTTATCCTCTGCTTTATTCAATAACAAATCAAGAAGTAAGAGAACAAACAGAAAGAGTCAGACGAACATTTTTGGATTAAAAAAGAATAAGTTTTCGAAATTAAATTCAATTGTTTCGGGGGAGAGAAAAAAAAGAAGAAGATGGATTTAATAAAGAGATGACAATTGTGATTTTGAATTCTTCTGTCTTTATTTTGCAGCGAGGCCAGAAATGAAGAGAGCCAAAAATGTTTTTCTTTTATTCAGACTTAGAACCCCCCTTGAGTCGTAGTAAATTGAAATGATTAAAAAAAAAGTTCTCGTTGTGTTGATGGAAACATTTAAGAAGGCTGAATGATTTGGAGAAACGATAAGAAAATTTTTACTTACATTTGATTTCACTTTTGGGATGAAAAGAAGCGAGACGGAAATAAAACACATCTTGTCTGTCGAATTTTCTGAAACCAGAAAGGCAAATGGCGTCGGCCGTACGAATGACGTCATAGGAAAACAAAGCATTTCATTGGACAAGAATAATCACGCCCCCTGGATACGAGAGTTTCTTTACGTGTTATAGATGGGGGAAAGAGAGAAGCAAGAGAGAAAACATGGAATGATGAGAGAGGGGCTTTTCTTTCCTTTTTTTAGTTCAAATAACTCACGACATTTAAATTTTAAATCATTTGAAAAAATATTTCAACTCAAACAAAAAAACTTGAAATTTGTGATAAATCTGAATAAAATGGAATTTCATTCCATCAAGAATCATTTTTATGGAAATAAAAAGAAAATGTCGAATAAAAAGTTTCATAAAGATCCGGAATTATTTTCATGGGAATTTTAATTTTGAAATCGAATTTATATTTTTATTTTATTCTTTCTCGTAAAATGTAGTAAATCGAAGGAAAAAAATCAATGAAATATTTTAAATATTCAAAGGTTAATTCAAGATTTGTTTAATGTCAGAATGAATGACAAACAAAACTGAAATAAAAAGATGAATCCAGGGAAATGGAAAATTGAATTCAGAGAAGAAAAACGAAAATGTCGATCGTCGTATCATTTTCTTATTTATTATTATTAGTATAAAATGAAAAAGTAGAATAAAATGAAACATATTTATTAGTAAATGGAAAAAAAAACAGTTGTATAAAATGAAAAAAAAATAGTAAAATAAAAACACCACCATGAAATTAAAATATTTTTATTAGTCTGTACTAGTATAAAATAATTAAAAATAATAATTAATTCAACTAATTTTTCGGGCAAAATATAAAAAATATTTTTTTTGCACAAATAAAAAATGCTTAAAATGCTTAAAATCATTTTATTTTGACACTTTTTAATTATTTTATAAAATCTTTTTTATAAACGGATATAAATTTAATTTTAGTATATCTTGGATTAATTCTTATAAAAATTCAAGTAGTAATTAAATGTATTGTTAAAAAAATGCTAAAATTATTCTTCTCGGATTTTACAAGATGACAGAGTTTTAAACTAAAAAGTCGTCTTTAACATCCGGTAATAAAAACGAAAAATAAACTCTTCTTTTTTGACTCATGTAATTAGAACGAAACCCCCAAAATAAAATAAATTTATAATGAAAAAACTTTCAACTCTGGTATTTAAGCAAAAACGGTCAACATAATTGATTGAAACGTAAAAATCTAAAAAGTCTTTTGAATTTCATAACTTTGAAAGGAGGACAAATTCAAGAATAATGTTGTTTGTGAAATTCCGAAGAAATATGAAATTCATCAATATGAACGAAACTTTAAGCAATTTATGATCTATCAGGAGTTTCCTATGACCTTGCATCTGGATCAAATGTCAATAGATAAATAAATTGATTGATTTGCAAGAATGTCCACTGAAAAGTACGAGAAAAAACTAATGCTAAAAATATTACGCGACCGCTGACCTAAAAAAAAACAAGATACAAAATTTCAAACGTGCTAGAAACGAATAAAAAGTTAAAATAATCAAAAAAATACTTTGGTTTTTCCTATTATTAATAAATATAAACTTTTTCACGATAAAACTTTGTTTTTAGATAGATAGATAGATAGATAGATATGTTATAAAATAAAATAAGACATATCTCGGCTGATTTAGAGGCAAATAAACTAACATACTCAAGAGCGAGAGCCGGATGTGAATGGGACAAAGCCCCGTCACAAAATGACCATTATCTTCGTTTACAAATGTTCCCGACTCACGAGTTCCGGTTGAAAAATAAAATAATATTTAAAGTTTTTCTATTTTTCGACCAATAAAAATGCTTCCCTCCTAATTATACTCCCTTCTTTTTTCAAGCCTGTTAAGCCATAAAAAAACGCTATAAAATGGGTCACACGGCAGTACAACAGGAGGCCAGGGAAGAGACCTGTCACAGTCAGGCTGAGCGGTCAGCAGCAGCCAGCAGCAGTAGCGCCACGCCAACCAGTGAGAACTACTATGAGAGATCAACCCAGATCAGCAGCTGGCCTACGAACTATACCACAAGGAAGCTGTCCCAAACCCACACGTTCCTGTTGAAATAAATCACGTAAATCTATTTCTGCTGTTGTCGTATTTTTTTTCTTGCAACCATACACTTGTCTATAACAGATAGATAGATAGATATGAACTGATTAAGATAGATAGATATGAACTGATATAGATAGATAGATAGATAGATATGAACTGACTAAGATAGATATGAACTGGCATAGATAGATAGAAACAAACAAACTCAGACAGATATATAGACAGACAGACGAACAGAAAATAATATGCAGCATTTGTTGACTGGCAATGAAATACACCCCACCACACACCTAGGTACGTCCACTTTTTCTCAGAAAAAAACAGCATAGTATGATGAAAAAAATGCCCCAGACTCAATAAAAACAAAGTTTTTCCATCAAAATGTTCATGCTATTATTAAGAGAAAAGACCAAAGTATGTTTTTATTAGTTTTAGCAATTTTTTAATCCTTTCTAGCACGTTCGAAATTTTAGTTAAAAATATTTTTTTACATATGTTACCACACACTTACTTAATTTCATGAAATTTCGAGAAAAATTCAATTTTTAGGACGGGAGTTTTTTTTTTATAAATTAAAAGCAGGACTTCTTGGCGAAAGTAAATCATTTTTTTTTTTTTACCTCTTTCACCGAAAATCTGCTCTGAATTGTAAAATAAAAAAAAATGCAATAAAACTACAGCATTATTTAATTAGAAAAGTCTTTAATTCCTTTGATAAAAAGATTTAAGAAGAAAATTTTTTTGATGAATAATTCATAATTTTACAAGAATTGTTTCAATTTTTAGAAATTTTAATTAATTTAATTATAATATTTAAAAAAATAATTTAAAAATCTGCATTGCTTCAAGGCGGCAGTTTGGTGATATTGTTAAGTGAAAAGTACATTTACGAATCAAAAATTGAAAAGCTCATAACAGTTGTTTGTACCTAAATATATATATTTTTTTTAAATTTAAAAAAAATTTAGTGTATATACGTTTGTAAATGCTGGTTGTGTTGAAAAGATTAATGTAGCTTCGTGTTGAATGGCATTTAACATTTATACATTTTTGAAACAAGGAAAAACAATGGAAAACCGATTTTTGTTTCAACAATAAAATATATATTAAAATCAACAAATACAAAAAAATTTTTGTAATGTGTGAATATTAAGGAGAAAAAAGTAGTTTGCCTTTATCTTGAATAAGAATAAATGTAATTAAGGAAGTTTCCTGAATAGAATGTTCAAAGTTCTATGTTGAAATAGAATGTTGTATTCAGAAGAACATACAGTTAATTCAGTTGTGTGTTATTTGTATAACTAACAGCGTTGTTGGTAACTTGGCTTTTTCATATTTTTCATTTTCCTCCTTAACTCTGGTTGTTTTGAATGTTAATGGTAAATGTGGTTGTAAATAGAATTATTGTACCTTGACTATCACATAAACAGTGACATTTGAATTAATCATGGTATTTAATAATTGGATAAGCAATTTTGCTTATTGTAGGGTGGTTGCTAATGCCATATATTCCACATTGTATATTTATTATTTATTTCCCAAAATGGGAATGATTGCAAAAAATTTCCCCTTCCCCCTCTTATAGTTAAAAAGACACAGAATGCATGCTGGGATATTTTTGTTAGCCAATAAAATGGGACATATAAATGCGCTTTGACATTAAAAACAATAGATGTGCCTTAACTAAATTTTAGACAGACAATTTTCTCCTCTAATTTTGATTTTCTTTAAATATATTGCTTGCTTGCTTGCATGATTTTTGCTGTTTTATCTTTTTGACCTTTTTTCTTTTCATTGCAAACTTTATTAATTCTGATCATGTTATTTATCTTACCCTTTAACAATGAATATTAACTCATCAAAAATATCACTAATTCAAATAAGAACAAAATAATGATTATCAAGCATAAGTAGCACTAAAATAATAAGGGTATTCAATAAAATATTCTCATCATCTCGACAGTGTAAGATCTTTTTGTCTGAAAATAATCAATTGCATCAACTGGAATTTTAATGGATGAGAAAATTAATCCACTCAATCACTATGAAACATTTAACATAGTTACCTCCATTGAGTTGACAAAAAATTAGAAACAAGTGATGAAAAAATGGTCAAAATATAATAAAAACAAAGTTTGAATGTCAAAATCTTTGTTATTATTAAGAGGAAAGACAAAAGGATCTTTTGATTATTAAATTATATTTGTAGAATAAGTGGCCATGGTTAAATGCAAATAAATGCCAGAACTGCCCAACAAACAGAATTAATAAAGATTGTAATAAACAAGAACAAGAAAGAAAATTATATAAAGCAAGCGAACAATATATGCAAGACAAAGAGCCAAATGAAACTGAGAACTGGCCTATTTTACTGGCTACGAAAAAATCCCTGTATGCATTTGTGTGCTTCTGCCTATAAATTGAGGGGAGATATTTTTCAATAATTCCAATACAGATTGGAATCAATCACCCACCTCAATCTAATGGTGAGTGAGGGTGATGTGCCAAAAGTTAATGCATTTGTTTGATTTATGCAGAGACATGCCCATTTTGTTATATTTAGTACAAATGTCACAGTATGAAAAGTGTAGTCTTTTGTAGTTTGTGAGCCAATACTCAAGAAAAGTTTTTTTTTTTGGAAGAAGATAAAGAGGATTACAACTCTTCCTCAGTTGACCCCTAAGGCCCAGTCAAAAAGGAAACAAATGTTGAGTTATTCTCAGCGGACTGAGCAGGCTCTGGAAGGGATTCAGAGATAGAAATAGCAGAAAATGCCGGCACAATAGTCTGTTAAACAGCAATGGGGTTTTATCTTTTCCTTCAATGGGATTCTGATAAGTTTTCCTCTTGTTCACTCAGGAAAAAAATGGGACCTATGATCCAATGCAATCTGAATATCACAAAACTGCTGCAGTAATTCTAAAATTTCACAGTAGTGTCATTTGGAATGAAAGAAAAGACAATTTCTTCTAATGTTTGTAAAACAAAAGTATTTAACTTAGGGAAAAGGAGGCTCTCTCTCTGGTTAGAAACAATTCTACTGAAGATTCTGTCTATATTTCTGAGATGAGGTATTATGTACATTATTCGGACTATTATCCTCATCTTTGTTGCCATATTTATCACAACGTTTCGTCCATTGTACGCTCCGGCCTTCTTCAGGAATTTCGAACTGAACCTACCTGGGGTAGACTGTTCTAGTTCCACGTGCTATGCTTGATGGATGTCAGTTATCAGTTATCTCCTACTAATTTCCCTCTGAAATTTCTCCACTGCGTTAACCGGGTATTGAACTTACACTCTTTGGGTCCTGTCACTGGATCTAACCAACCTTTATCCACTGTGCCACGTGTCCTTGGGGACATCTGGGTATGAATTTCTGGGTATTATAAACCTAATGTCTTCAGCAACCATTTTTACCAGTGCTCATATTGCAATTTTTCTGTTATCATTGCATGTTTTTACCAGAGCTCATATTGCAACTTTGTTGTTATCATTGCTTTTCTCTGGCACTCCTTATTACTGGTTCCCATATTGTATTTATTTCTATGCTTGGTCGGCTCAGGAGATTTTTGTGGCCTAGAATATGTGCTGATTCCTTAAGTTTACGAATTTTTCAGTGGTGTTCCTTGTTTATGATCTCAACATGATCCCACAGAGGGCGGTGATCTCCTTTCTCTCTCCATATGTGGTCAGCCACGCCTGATTTTTCTACTTCCCCTCGTGTTACAGCTTTCTGGTGTTCTTGAAGCCTTACCTTGAGTGGGAGGCCTTCCTTTCCGCAGCTGCACGGGATAGCATACACACAGTCTTTCGTCATGTTCTCCTCGATGGGGGGGGGGTCTTACTCGGGAGAGATATCTGCCAAGTGTCGTCAAGCTTTAGAAGGTTGTCCTGATGTTATATGGACCACAGATTATTTGTATTTTCTCTGATAACCCCTTCACATAAGGCAGGCAGACTGTTTTCTGAGTGTTGTTGTCCTCCTCCTCTTGTACCTGCCTATCCCAGTTCTGGGGGGCTGCTGCCATGTACCCAGGGTAGTTGTTACGTTGTAGGGTATTATTTATACTGACCAATTCTTTATCCCACGTCTCTGAGTCGCCACTTATGACTTTTGCTCGGTGTTGTAAGCAACGGACGATCCCTTTCTTTACGCTGTATGGATGATGGGAGTTGAAATTGAGGTACTGTCCGGTGAATGTCGGTTTACGGTAAACAGATGTCTTAAACCCATGCTCTGTTTGAGATATTAGAACATTCAGGAATGGGAGTGTGTTGTTACTCTCTTTCTCCATTGTGAACTGTATCGAAGGTCTTATTGAGTTCACATGGTCCAGTAGAACCTGAACATCTTCCTGGCGTGGCCAGAGTATGAAGGTGTCATCTACGTACCTTAACCATATAGTTGGCTTTAGAGATTCTACTGAAATTGACAAGTTGTGATAAACATCAAAGTAGAAGAGAGAAGAATATATTAGGACCTTGAATAAGTTCTCGCTGATTTTTCATGAAAATTATTTACAAAAATTAGTAAGAAGCATGTCACTGAAAGTATTGTCCATTGCTAGTCACTACCTTTTCACGTCTTTCTGACAGCATTTGAATTTCACATCAGAGAAACGACATCTTTTGAGGCTAACCACAAGTCCACCCATTTTTTGGCATCTTCATAAGAATGAAAGTGCTGCTCAGCCAGGTCATGTGCTATCAATTGGAACAAGTGATAATCAGACGGGGCAATATCTGGTGAGTATGGCGGGTGTGCTGAGGCTTCAAATTTAAGGGTTTCCAAGTAGGTTTTTCACCCATTTTGCAACATGTGGCCTAGCATTGTCATGTTGCAAAATCACTGTCATGTCTCTACTCATATAGTGGTTGTTTTTTCTTCAATGCTTGACTCAAACGCATCAATTGTAGTCAATAGTGATTTCTCATGATGGTTTCAGTGATTTTTAAGCAACTTATAATAAACTACACTCAGCTGATTTCACCAAATGCAGAGTAGAAGCTTCCAACAATGGATATTCAACTTGCCACAGATGTTGATGCATGACCAGGCTTACCCCACAATCTTCTATGCTTAGGGTTATTATAGTGTATTAACTTTTCATTGCTGGTCACAATAAGATGCTAAAAAAAAACTTTCCTTTTTTTGCTGTTGAAGCAGCTGTTCACACGTG